AGAAGAAAGTTCAGTACTTGAAAAATAAAGGAGGAATAAAAGATTGAGACGAAAATAAGTCTGGCCAAAGATTTAAGAAACATTGGAAAGATGATTTGAAAAACTCATAGATGAGAATTGTATAAAAAATCGGTGAATAATAAATTTAGGCAACAACATAAATTTAATAGATTTTTTACCTTTGTAATATTTTTTAATGTCTTAAAATTTGAAACAATTAGATTGAAAATAAATTATAATTGCTTAGTATAATATACTAGATATGATTAACAAAAAAAATTATATACTAAATAGATAACAATGAGTTAAATTATATTAGGGAATAATGGATTAGTCTTTTTATATTTTTATGAAAATATCCATATTATTGTTATAATTTTTAATTGTGTGGTATTTTAGATAAAAATGTTTTATTACTATTTAAAATTTTTGTTTCAATTTTTCAAAAATCAATTTACTTTGTTCTGTATCTTGTTCAGTCAAAAAAAGTCCAAAGTTTGTCTCGTATCGGTCGGTAGTCTTTTGTTGGGAGTAAAAAAGGGCAAGAGTGTAAATTTAAAAGGTGGATGGGAACGAATCCCAAAATTAGAGAGAAGTCGCGTTGGTCTGTCATCTTCTAGCTGACGGATTCGAGATCAGACGCAGCGTAGCGTAGATGTGGATGAATGCAAATCTCCATCGATTTTTATTATCTTCTTCTTCTATAGCTTAATCATGTTTCGTCCTCTCCACATATGCTTCCTTATCTCTTTTGCATTCTTCATCGACCCCTCCTCGCAGCATGATAAGAAGATACAAATGCGAGAGAAAGTGCGCGAGATGTAAGCATCGTTGTTTTTCTTTTGTTCTGTTAATGCTTCATGATTGTTTTTTTTTATAAATTTAGCTTATTCTGGGATTAGGTAAGAATAAAACATGTGGTCTTATTCAAGCTGATCTTTCATGGGTTCGGTCTTTTTTGGTTCCGTTGTAAGAGATTTTTGTAGCTTAAGGGATTTGTATCTGAACGGGTAATATCAGATCTTAATCACATTGAATGCTTTTTTCTTTGTTTGGTGGTGATATCTTTTCAATTGTCGTGAAGCTTTCCATAAGGAATCACAAACACTATTTGAGAGAGTTAGATGGATACTAGGCTTTTTTTTTTCAATTGTGAATTTTGCTGATTCATCCAGATGTGTCCTTTAGTCTGCATTTGGTCGCCTCATTGTATCATTTGTTTCTTTCTTTTACACCTTTTTATAGTCTTCATGAGAACTAAGTGGATGTAGTTCCTAAGAAGTATTATTGATGATATGTTTATACCTGGACACGTTGTTTTTTTACAGGTTCTATCATGCGTATGACAATTACATGACTTACGCTTTTCCGGTTAGTTTGGTTATCGCTAAAATTAACAGTGTGATGAATTCTAGCTAGTCTGATTCTGAATTTCACTACATTTTTAATTCGAACAGCATGATGAGCTAAAGCCTCTTAGCAAAAGTTTCACAGACTCTCTCAGTGAGCTTGGAAATCTTAAGGTAACTTATTAGCTTTAGCTCACCATTAGCGAGTTTAAGCAGAATATTGACTAACATCTCTGATTTCTAGCTTGAACACCTGCCGACAGATTATAATGGATCAGCTGTCACACTTGTTGAATCCTTGTCCAGGTATGTTATGCAACAGTGAAAGCATTCCTTAAGTGGTTATCTAATATCAGTTTCACATGATTTTCTTTGTCCCAGCCTTGCTATATTGGGAAACAAGACAGAATTTGAAAAGGGGGTTCTCTGGCTCTCAGAAAATCTGACATTCGATGTTGATGTACGGGTCAATCTCTTTGAGGTAAAATTCAACTTCATTCGAAGCTTGAATCATTTGCTCCTCCATAGGGCTGTACTAGTAAATGGTTATTCTTCTTATAACTACTTTGGTGTGAAGTTAAATTCTGTTGAATTTCCTTCAAGAATCTGGATGTATTCCCAAGTTTCATGAAATTACTCGTATTCTGATGCTTCTAACTGGTGATATTTTCGCTTCTGATCTGTAGTGCAATATAAGAGTTCTTGGAGGACTTATCTCTGCTCATCTTCTTGCAATTGATCCAACTAATAGGTTGATTCAGGGCTCCTACAACAACCAGCTTCTTAGATTAGCCGAAGACCTTGGAAAACGCTTTTTGCCAGCGTTTGAAACACCCACAGCTTTACCCTATGCATGGATTAACTTGAAGGTACTGTAAACTAACTTACTGCCTGCACCTAAAATATCCTGGATATCGAATGTGAAGTTTGAGCTCGTTCTTCTAGTATTTTTGAAAAAGGTTTTTGACCCCAAATAATATCGTTGGGCAGAATGGAGTAATGGTGAATGAGACAACTGAAACAAGCACTTCAGGATGTGGTATGTATCTTGTTGTTCCTCGTTCCTTTTACATGGAATATAAACGCAAGTATTTTTCTTTGACGAAATTTGTTGTTCGAATGTGTTCATGGGATTTATTGATATGCTGTTTACATGTTAGGTTCCCTCATTCTTGAAATGGGAGCATTGTCACGGCTCACTGGCGACCCTAGATTTGAATCAGTTGCATTACGTGCGCTTCGTCAACTATGGAGGATGCGCAGTTCGTTAGATCTGCTTGGGACAACATTGGATGTGGTAACTGGGGAATGGCTAGAGTACTCCTCCGGTATTGGAGCTGGTATGTTATTCATTTCTAGGAGAGTTCCAGTGGCAATTTTTTTCTTTCCAATAGATAGTGCAGAATCCTTTCACATAATTAACATGTGCAGCTTTGATTTAGTTTCATTTTGGTCTTATAAAGGGGTTGACTCTTTCTATGAATACCTCATGAAGGCTTATATTCTTTTTGGAAAAGAAGATTACTGGCGAATGTTTAGTTCTGCGTATCTGGCATCTCAGAAGCACTTCAGATATGGTCCTTGGTAATATACTAGCCTGAAGAAAAGTACTTCCACAATCTCCATTATGACATTTGACTTTTATTATTCCAAACTGGAAACTGATAGATTTAATAACGTGTTGATCTACCTGGGTTAGGTACCATGAAGCTAATATGTGGAGTGGGAAACCAACTTATTGGCAGCTCACAAGTCTACAGGCGTTTTGGCCTGGTCTACAGGTATAATGAGTGAATGGATTGCTTAAATGTCGTTGAGTGAAAAGGGAATATTCTGGTTTTCATTCTCAAGTTCTTACTACTAGGTTCTTGTTGGGGATGTCGCAGCTGCAAATTCATCGCACCGGGAGTTTTTCCATGCATGGGAGAAGTTTGGTGTTTTACCTGAAAGGTATGCAATCTTCAGTTCTTAGTGATTTCAACTTTGCTGTTTGGGGTATAGGATGCTGAAGAATCTTTGTTCAGGTATCTATTAGATCATCAAATGATACATCCTACTGAGAGGTACTATCCACTGCGTCCTGAATTAGCAGAATCCACGTTCTACCTATACCAAGCTACAAAAGGTTTTTGCATTTTTTTTGTCTCACATTTAATGTTTATAATGTGAACCACATCATTTGAGGCAAGCTTCGTTGACAATAAATCGCTATTTCATTCCTTTGTTTTTCCCTTTGCAGATCCATGGTACCTAGATGTTGGTGAAGCAATGGTAAAATCTCTTAATCGGTATACAAAGGTGGCAGGGGGATTTGCAAGTGTTAGAGATGTGACGACCATGCAACTGGAAGATCACCAGCACAGTTTCTTTCTCGCTGAAACGTAAAATTAGCGTCCACTTCCCTGCACGTAATTAATTTCTTACCTATACAATGTCAGAACTCAGAACATCATATTGGTTGTCATCTCACATTTGCAGGTGCAAGTACTTATATCTCCTCTTCGATGATTCCTTTGTGGCCAAAAGAAATTATATATTCACAACCGAGGGCCATCCTATACAGGTTACGAGCTCCTGGCATGAGAAACTACCAGAAAGTTATTTCTCTGGCAACTGGACGTTTTCAAAGGTTTGGCTCTTGTTCCAGTTCTGATCCTATTCATTGTGCATTAGAGAGTAGGAAGAACAGCGATGATGTTTTTTCCCAGTTGATATTCCACATTCAACGAATATTATCGAGTCTTAATGGATTATTATTTATCTGCTTGTGCTAAACTATAGATTTACTGCAGAGTGGAGCATGGGAAAGTGGAGCAAGTGCATTGTCAATGAAAGTCTGTCCATCGATAGCTCCAAACTCTAGACTTCCTGAGCAACATAGAGAGAGTGTTTGCCATGTTCCTGACCAGAAAATAGATCATAGGTGTTGGAGCAACAGAGAGTGTGGAGTTGACGCCACTACTTGTAGACAAAGATCCTGCAGCGAAGTTGGATACTGCGGCTTGTGGAACCCCTTATAAGTTACAAACAACTTCTGACTCAAAAACAGAATACGAGAAGTGGGGTTTATGAATAGAAACTGTAAAGTAATACGGAAAGACTAGTTTTTGGTGGACAGGGAAATATAGAGTTGTTTCATGATACTGTTGTATTACGTCTAAAGTATTATCAGATCTTACATGGATTTGTACTTTTTTTTTTTCACTCTAGGAAGATCAACCTTAAGACTATTACCATAAAACTGTCCTTTCAATTCACCATAGATGAAACTTCATTTCTTGCTGCAGGTGTTACCATCTACATTGTCTCTAGACTATATGCTTCCTTGACCAATTTCAAGACAGCATACCCAACTGCTAAAGCAGTTAATGATTTCAATAACTCTGAAACAGTCCTCAGTTTTGTAAGCAATCCCATAAATAGGTTCGTAATAGAATATTCACACCTTGCACAAACCAGTTTCTAAGTACGAACAAACATCACTTATTCTCAAGTTGTACAAGTATTTGAAGAAAAAACATTGCAATATCTTAAATCTTTATTAGGTTTTATTCATGTTAAGTTGTATAAGGTAGAAACATCCACCTCCGTCATTTTTTTGGGTTCAGCTATTACTGAGAAACACCTCAACTCTGAGATTGATAGAGAGGTCTAAGACTCTGCAGATGAGGCTGCTGCGTCATCTTTGTGCTTAATCATGCCGGAGTCGACAAGAATTGGAATCTCTGCAGCAAGCCCCAAACAAAGTGCATGTGCTATACCAAACCTAGGACTGCATCAACAAAACAAAACAAAACAAAAGCAAAAGGCATTCATCAACGGCAAGAAAACGGGTATAATGTGCTAATCATATTCGTGTAAGAAATAGATATGCATAAACCCAACAAATTATATGTTCACTTCAGGACAGTAACTTTCATTTCGACCAGCTTAATAGAATCAACCAACCAATCTAATTAACATCATAGGACAACGAGTTCTTTCATAATCCTTGTAATAAAATCAATGGGAAGTACACTAAACTTATCTTAAGCATTTGCTTGGTTCTCTAACAATGTCAATGCAACCACAAAGCATAACAAAGTTTTTACCAATTCCATTTGAGACAGAAACAAAACTCCGGTCGTAACCAAAAGAAAGCACCAAAACCTTTTGAGTTTTGCCGTCAATCTCAGGCAACTCAAGCTCGGGAGCAGTGGCAGGGTAAGTGATAGGGATATCGAATTGGAGATTCGTATTTGAGGAGGTTGTGAACACACCAACACTTGCCAGTCCAACGCGTGCCTTCGGGGTTGGAGGCGGAGATACGGAACCAATCGTTGTCGTTGGACTTGTTCATGTGTGTGTATGCGATCAGAGACTTGTACTCTTCTTTAAGCCTCTGTTTCCATGCATCGCCGTCTCTTGGTCCCGCCTTTGTCGTCAGGAGAGGGATTCGCGTTAACGTCGACTTCGTGCTCGGATTCCATCCTTACACTCGGCCCTAAAATGTCTTTTTTTTTCTCCTTTTGATCGGTGGAAAGCAGAGGATGTTTTGATTCTGATTCTTCTAGGACCAAACAGAAAAAATGTAACCGAAATACTAAACCGTCTAGGCAATTTGGTTTAGTTTTATTTGATTTGGTCCATTAAAAGCTTACTAAATATTGACTCGTGCGACCACATGGATATTTAATTTTATATTTTAATTTATGTTATTAAGTTTATACTAGGTGACTGGCCCGCATCCTGTGCGAACATATAATATCTAAAATAATAAAATTAGGTGACTGGTCCGCATGTGCGGGCATATAATATCTAAAATAATGAAAATTATAGTGTTTATATTTAGAAGTTGTGAGAGAAAAAAGTCACTGTGTTTAGTGATTCCGGGCGATGGAGTGAGTTTTCACAGCCACCGTCGGTCCGGCTTTAGATTGTCCTTGGTTTTATTTCTCGTTTATAGATCTTTAGTAGAGAAGGTTTGGTGTATCTCTTGTTTTGGTTTCAACAGGGTGATGTTTTTATTTTGGGAGGCGGAAACTTATATAGATCCGTCGAAGAGTGTATCTACATTAGAGTTTTCTCAATTTTGGGTTTTCGGCCCCATGTCGATTCTTATTGTAATGTCCTTTTGTTATGGGTTTTGGTGATTGTGTATCTTGGGATTTGATCCTTTATTAATCAAATTAAGATGAAAAAAAAAATTTAGAAGTTGTGTATCCTACTATATTGTCAATAAGTGAAATTGTGTTGTATATAAGTCTTTTATTTAGAAGTTAACTAAAACTTGTTGGTATATCTCATTTGTCCTTTTCTTTGTTTGTTTTGCAAATATTTTGCCTTGAACCACATGTAACTATTCATTATTGATTGTTTAATTAAATTGTATTTCAAAATATACAGAAAGAGATAGTAGGATAATATAGTTTCTTTCAACTATTTATTAGGTGTTAATCAAAAAGTAATTGCAAGAGATATAATGTTATTTTCTTTGAGAAAATAAATAATAATTANATGTAACTATTCATTATTGATTGTTTAATTAAATTGTATTTCAAAATATACAGAAAGAGATAGTAGGATAATATAGTTTCTTTCAACTATTTATTAGGTGTTAATCAAAAAGTAATTGCAAGAGATATAATGTTATTTTCTTTGAGAAAATAAATAATAATTAAAGCCAATAAAATAAGAAACCAAATTCAAGAAATAACAGTGAACTGGTGTTCAAAAAAAAAGAAGAATAGATTCTTCTTCTATTTCTCCAGCTTCACTTGCTTTTGATTTTTTTTAAAGTGTTTTTTGTTGACAGAGAACTGATCCTCAACAGCATTGTCTCGCGCTCTTATTGGCTTCTTTTTTTAGACAAAAGAGTTGGTAAAAACCACCAGAACCCTTAGATATTTCCTTTTTAAATTGCAACAATAAAACCTTTTGAAGAGAAAAGGGATTTGAACTGAGATCTCTTGCCAATGTGGAAGTAAACATTTTAATATTAAACAATGTGAAATAGGTATAGGAGGTAATGCTGCAAACTCTTATCTTAGCATTCACAAAAGTTTTATAGAGAATCTCACCACATATGAAAAATGTCTAGCATATTGCGATTGTTCTCTAGGGTGCTGATCCTCAACATCATTGCCTCACTCTTATTGTTTTTTTCTGTTAGACAAAGGATTTTTTGAAGAACCCCCCAGAACCCTGAGATATTTATTCTGAAGACTGAAACATTAAACCTTTTGAATAGATTTGAAATGAAATCTTTTACTAACGCGGTTGTAAACATTTTAATATTTTTCTAATAATAAGAATAGTTACGGTTCAATAGGCAAAGTTAAAAGTGATTTCATTTCTTACTTCTTTATCAGCAAATACCATTTCAATAGTGTCTCCGGTCTCTTTGATATACTTCTTTCACAGACGAATAATCCTAACTTCAATATTCCATGTATCTGTTTGAACCATTGCCATTTGTTTTTTTTTTTTTGAATTATCAACATAGCTTTAATGTTTGTAGTGTAAGACCCTGACCAACTTTATATATTCTCCAACTTCCACGTTTGAGAGTTATTAGCATAATATATTTATATGCCTTATGCTAAACTTCCAAAGATATGTACATTAAAATGGCGAAGGAGTTTGTGGGAATGCATTACTAAATTGCTATAATGTGGNGTGTAAGACCCTGACCAACTTTATATATTCTCCAACTTCCACGTTTGAGAGTTATTAGCATAATATATTTATATGCCTTATGCTAAACTTCCAAAGATATGTACATTAAAATGGCGAAGGAGTTTGTGGGAATGCATTACTAAATTGCTATAATGTGGTTCGCAATAATTGCATATATGAACTATCACAAGTAATTTAGGACAAAAAGAATATTAAATTTTAAGGAATTAACTAATTAGGAATATTTAGAAAAATTAAATACAAATAAAATCACATTTGTATTTGAATATTTAATGTATAGTAGTAATATCCCCTATATATTAAAAGAGAAACATTTAAAAAATTGTAACCTCAATTTTGTAATAATTAAAAAAGATCTCATGCTTAGGTGTCATTTAATTAGGTAGTCAATTACATTCAATTGAAAAATAAGTAGGTCCATATTCAATTTTTATATATCGCTAGTTATATTCGTTGGTTAAACTATATGATATGATATGATATTTACGATAGAAGCATTTATGATTGCTCTGCTAGATATAATTAATATTTTATTTTTTTTCCTTAAATAAAACCTACGGAATTACCATAAATAACTAATATATATATGACAATTAATGATTCTAATAATAAATATTTGATAACAATTTATATCTCCTCCATCATTTTTTATTTAATTTTATATTATTAAAATAAATTAAACAATCAAATTAGCTATAAAATTAAACTTTAGATTTTTTCGTATATATTATATTTTGAATTTTACAAAACGAGAATAAATGACTAAAACTATTAAAATTATTATGCTAAAAATTGATGATCAATAGTTTAACATTTTTATTATAAAAAGATACACATGATTTTTAAACCATATGAGTAAAAAGTATCATTCAATAATAAAGCAAATATATATATATATATATATATATATAGATTAAACTATATACCATATAAGATTACATAAATATTTTAATTTCGAAAATTTCAATGAATTTTCAAGAACATTTATAAATTATAAACTTATTAATTGTTTCACATTGAATTTTTGGTATCAATGATTTAAATATCTTAATTCTTTTTTTTTTAATTTTATATTATTAAAAGATATTAAACAATCGATAATATGTTTTTTGGTATATACCATACAAACCGAATGGATGTGATTTTATAAAAACTGTAGGATTTGGATATGGTTTGATTTATAACCGATTAAACTGAAACATATAAATATGTATATATTTATAACGACGCATAAATATTTATTTGTTACATGAGTTGAACTATAATTACAATTTCTAAATCACTTGAATCAATTAAACTATAATTAACTAACAATTTGATGTAACTGAGGCTTCTTATTTTCTTAATTTTTTTTTATCTTTTTGCTTTATTTTAACAGTAACTCGAAGTAAAGCTCACAAATTTGATGGACAACAATTAGTTGAAATTCTTTTACAACTTTTTTTTATCTTCAAACAAACAGAGTTGTGTTCAACCGGAAACATATTAATTTGATGAACACTAAATATGAAAGAATATAAAAACTTTTCTTTCATCCTGATTTTTTTTTTTTTCAAAATTTAGAACTTTGATATTAATTCCAGATTTCATCATTTTATTAGATGATAGAAGCCTTTTTATTCTTTTATTTAAATATAGAATTATTTTTTAATAAATAAAATTTTGACAATATGACTCTAAATATGATCATATTATATGTTTGTATAATATATAATATGATCTCAAACTATATAATTATGTTTTTTGGTATAAAACTGAATAAACAGAAAACAGATAGTATATAAACCAAATCGAACCGAAGTAAATATGGATTTAGAATAGTAGTTATATTTTAATAAATAAAATACCAAAAAATCGACCGTACTAAAATCTGATATCCGGATTGAACACTCCTAATCCAAATGAACCGAACAATTGTTTGATTTTCCAAAACATAATAAAAATAACAATTTCATCCCGCGCAAGGCGCGGGTCTTATCCTAGTATACGAATTAAAATGTAAGAGTAAAACTGAATATCACCTAGATTAAAACTAATCATGAAACAGTTTAGAGAAAAATATTATAGCTATATTGCTATAATTAGGTTTACAATAATTTCTAAGGACTAATAACAATTCATGAATTAACTAATAATGAACATTTTGAAAAATGTACATTTAATGCAATATCATTTGTATGGACTTTTATACTATATAGTAGCAATAACGAATTAATGACCAAGTAATAAGGAATCTTACTTAGATTTGCATATATATTTGTTATACGAAAATTATAATTTGATATTGGTTAATTAAATGTACGCTTAATTAATATTTCCTAAGAAAATCATATCATATATTTTGACTTTTGTAGTTATACAGATTTTTCAACTGTATTTAAAATTAATTAAAAATAATTAATTACAATTCCAAAGCTTATCTAACCAGATTCATATACATATCTCGAGCGTTAATCATTTTAAATAAATCGATATAACTTTATATCACAAATGTATATTAAAATTAAACCGATTTCAATTATAACCATTTAATTTAACCAATATTCCATATCATTTTAATTAAACCGGTATAACTGAAACAAAGCTTATAGGTGTATTGCAAAACCAACATATATAATAGAAAATATAATATTTTTATAAAATTATTAGAAAATTTAAGTG